CACCTTTGGTTATAATATGACCGGCTTCCTATTTTTTACATTAGTCAATATCGTCAACGCAGCGAACATGATGCTATAGCGGAATAAAGATGTAGCTGATCAGGTATTGTCGAAGAAGTGGATAGGATCAGTAGGGCAGTTGCCATTCCTCCGTGCTAGGTAAGCCATTTCCTTCAGGTGAGTTACGCCGTTTCTAATCCATCAATGAAGAATTCTTTAGCATTCTGATGTTTTTTGCATCAATCCGATTTTCCTTCTCCGGTCATCTTGGAAAAAGTCATTATAAGTGCTCATCCCTTTCGATGGGTCGCTTGGCCTAGGTGTCTTTCTGGTGATAATAGCAGAAAATAGAAAAATAATAACGAAGAAAATTCATGACGCTCATTAGACAATGGCTTTGGATTCGTTGTTTTTCCCGAACACGAACCTAGCTCTAGACCTGGCACACTACTCGCGGTTGAACTCAGTACTTGCTTGAAATTACAGTACTTTCTTCTCCTTTCTTCACTTTTATTCTTCGCCATTCAATCCAGAGCTGTTCGTTGTCCTAATGGACGTCACTGTTTCGTCACCCATCTGGCCCTTTTCGCAAGCTCCTTTCCTATATTCTTCAATAGAAAGCAATCCTTACGATGAGTCTACAGAAATGAGTTCACAGTACTCGCCGTGAAAACTAGAAAATTCACGTGAACACTGCGTCTTTTTCGTCTTTTCTCCATGAATCGGTTCAGGATAGAGTAATCTAGGAGCTGTGCATGAAGTACCACGATTCCTTTTTGTTTTTAGACATATCATTTGTGACTAAACTCATCTGACCGCTAATGATTTGGGATTCCCAATTAATGAAAAATCCGTGGGGAAAATGTTCCATTGATAACAATATCTGTGATAGGCGTTGTTATCCATTTCTGGGTACCATTCAAGACATTGGTTGCAATCAATTAAGACATCAATGTGACACAATTTCGATATGAAGAGCAGTGAATCGAGCCTTCTAATTAGTATATCACCTGTATCACCTGTCGTCCCGTTGATCATCGAAATCCTCGAGCGGGCGCCAGTAACGTCTCCATTCGTCCCTGTCACGAGCCAAAGTGGTCCAGTGAACCGTTCTCGCTTCAGGGACACGAGGTTCAACATTCCTTTCGTTCAGAGCTTTCGTGAAGAAGTCTGACCATCTCGTCGGCGGCCTTCCTGGTGTTCGTTTGATGTCCCGAGGGATCCAGTCAGTAACCGCCCTGGTCCAACGGTCATCACTATATCGCATAACGTGTCCGGCCCACCTGATCTTCGATTTCTTGGCGTAATCAACGGCATCCCTGATCTTCGTTCGGTGACGGAGCTCGGAACTCCGGATTCCCTTCTGCACTTGCGTGTATAGGGAAATTCCGAGCATCGTCCTTTCCAAAGCGCGTTGAATAACGCTGACAGCATGCTCATCCTGCTTTCGTAGAGTCCAGGTCTCCGAGGCGTACGTCAAAGCAGGAAGGACAGCAGTGTCGAAAAGGTGAGCGCGGAGCCGGATGTTCTTTGTCTTCTTCACTACTCCCTCGATATTCTTAAATGCTCCCCACGCGGCGCGTTTCCTTCTGCACAGCTCTGGAGCTAGGTCGTTCATCATGTTGACTTCCCGACCTAGATACACATAGCTAGAGCATTCGGAGATATTCGTTCCGTTTAACGTGAAAGGAGCATCAGGTACCAATCCGTTTCTCATGAACATCGTCTTCGTTAGGTTCAGTCTCAAGCCGATCTTTCCACAAGCACTATCAAACTCGGCCAGCATTCGTTCCGCCTGCTCGATGTTCGGTGTTATAAGCACAATGTCGTCTGCAAAGCGGAGGTGATGTAGGAAGGACTTCGGCACTTAAGTAAGGGATTTAGATTAAAAAGGACCGTAGAAGTTTATTGATATAGACTAATAACAACTGTTAGAGATTGATAGAAACTGATAGGAGGCGAGAGCCATTGAGTCTACATCGTCTTTCATATAAACAACTGAGCATTCCAGTAGGGTCGTACTGATAACAGAAATTGATAACGACTGACAGAACTGATAAGGGATCTTAGAGAGCAAGAGGATATTTATGAACGAAAACTGACACTTTGAAATGTTTCGTTTAATAAGACGGGTAAGTGCAGCGATCGCGACTGATCAAAGACAATTCTCCATAACGAGATAAGAATTTTGTTCATTCCTTGCTATTGAACTACAACCGTTACGTAGTAAGCTTTGTGACACAATGAAGCCTCATTGTACCTTTTTATTTTGTTACATATCATTTGTGACTAGACTCATCTGACCGCTAATAATTTGGGATTGCCAATCAATGAAAAATCCATAGGGGAAATGTGCGCTTGATAACGACACCTGTGGTAGATTATGCCACGTGATAGGGATTCCTTTGTACCATTCAAGACATTGGTTGTTAATCAGTTAAGCCATCAATGTGACACAATTTCGAGATGGAGAGCGATAAATCAAGACTTCTAATTATGGGCATAAGCATCGGTGTACGTACCGATACCAATGACACTATACCACTGGTCCTGTGTCAAATTTTGTCTTCGTAGGGATATCAGCTGTCCTTAAGATGAAGTGGTGGGTCAGCCGATTATTACAACTTTGTCATGAGAAGGAGGAAAGCCCGGCGTTAGCCGGGCGGTCTGACTAGTACTTATGTAAATATTAGGTGTGTGCAATAATCTCCGCCGCCGAATTCCAAGGGCCGTTGCGCGAACCATATTAGAGTTTTACCGGTNTTTTACCGGTGAAACCTGTCATGTTCTGTAAGGTAGGGTATTGTCTAACTACTTAAGGGCAGACAGATCAGTTTTGCCCCAAAATACTGTTGCTCTCAGACTGATTGGTCATGGAATGTGATGAACCGTTTCCTAGGGGTCCTTCCCCTGCTTGGAGGACAAGCTTCATTTGAACGAACCTGCTGAGATAGTTCTCTTCACTCGAGAACTTGCAACGAAAGCGGAATGTTTATCACGAAAAAGTAGTGCTGTGCGTGCATTTCGGGATCAAAAGGATGTTTTGAACTGTGAGCTGCTGAGCCCGAACGAAACTGTTACTGCTGACCGCTACGAACACCAACTTGACAGTTTGTAGACTCTCATCTAAAAGCTCACCTCAATCGCAAGAAAATATCATGAGGTGCCGTTCCACCACGAACATGCCAGACCCTATGTTGCGAAGAATGTCCTTTAAAAAATTGCAGTTGTTGGATGGGATCAGCTTGTTCAGCCCGCATACTCTCCAGAACTTGCTCTTTCTGATTACCACCTATTCCGGTCCATGCAAGTCAGTTTGGCAGATATACGCTCCCGAATGCCGAAGAAGTGCGAAAATGGGTGGATAACAGGATTGCCTCAAAAGATGAAGACTTTTTCAGGACCGGTGCCAACAAGATACCAGAAAGATGGCAGGAAGTTGTAGCTAACGATGGGCAATACATTGGTTAATGTACATTCAATTTTAATTTTGTAATAAGTATGTTTTTGTACGCGAAAAACGGCGGAAATTAATGCACACACCTAATATATATATTGGTGTTGTTTAATTTATAATCTATACACGGCTAGCCATGTGAAACCTCCTCTTAAGCACTCGCTTATCTTCATTCCCTTTATTTTATTCGTCGTTCAGTTTCAAAAGCTGTTAGGTTAAGGAGGTCTACTGTAACGTTTTGTATGACCACATTGGAAATTTACTCTTTCCTTCTATCCAAGAGTCAGTGATCGGACATCTTACATCACAAGACACACTTGTGAAGTTTAAGTCTGCAGTAAATATTCGTGAAAATGTTTTAGCCTACTTCAAGGGGTTTCCTCTGCTCGATAGAAGAACGAAGGCGGTATTTTCGAAAAGTCCGTCTTCCTTCAGCGCCTCCAACGACACTCTGAATGACACAACTTCATCATGGCCAAGCAAGTGATAAGGAATAGAATACGTCCCACTGTCTGCTACTCAAAAGAGGCTGCTGAAACGCGCTTATGTTGCTCTAACATCGAGCTGTGGCTTACAGGTGCATGGTTTTNAAAAGACTATTCAACTTTATTACTGAGCAAGCGACAAACTCGCGTCACTCAGTGATGAGGGCACAACTTCAGTGAAAGGCGAAGGAAACAGTCATTGGATCAGTGCTTCGAAAGATGACAGAAAGTGTTACCAAAAGTGCAGATGAAGCTGGAACGCGGATTGTGTCAGACTAGATGAATCTAGAAGTTCATCATATAGAGAACACGGTCCCTTAAATTACACGGTGCGATGTGATCATCCCATAAAGGCACAGTTCACAATAACTTTGGAATGTCTAGTTTTGGACGAATAACGGAAAGAATAGTAGAGGCCAGTGTAAAAAATGCGAAGAAATCGCGAAAATCGGCGTATTCAGAGCGAGTTGGGCAAAGGTCGGTCGGAGTGCTAAGAAGTTCGCGGGAAGTGATCATTCGAATCATGTTGCGCTCATGTTTTAAACTTCCATAACTTTCAAAGCAAGGAAGATGTCATGTTATCGTGTCACATTGCTCTTTGGTTTCTTTGCCGAACAACGTGCGTTCTGTTCGGGATCTTCTTCCACTGAATTCAAGAGAAGTGTTTTCCCAGTTCAACCGCTCAACCATGTCGCTCAAGTTACTTTCATCGCTACAGGAATGCCCATTACACCACCACTGGTAATTACTAGTCTTTCAGTTCGTAAAACAGATTCAGTCAAGCCTGCTCGGGGTCATCAACTTAACAACTGAACTGAATATGCTGAGCATAATAAAACCCTAACCACTCCCTGTATATATTCCACACAGAAAGCTCCACAATGACCATAACAATGTTTCGCGTCATAGCAAACACGCGGAAGTGTGAGTTGTGTGAAGTATGAAAACTCTTTATCTCATGAATACCATAAATTATGACCACTGAAGCTTTCACGGCGAGTGGACAGGTTGTCGCTTTATGAAGTTGCCCGCCGCAGCGGTCTGTTTGAGTATCGCTTCTTTCTATGAGCGGAGAGAAATATTGTGGTTTACGAAATCATTCCTGATGTTTTGGTATGGCATGAATTGTTTTTAGCAGCCCATTTCACCTGGTGATAGTGACTAGAACCACTGTTGAGTGAAAATTGAAGTATAAATCTAAATCACGATTGATTTTTGACTCAACTAATTAAAATTTTGGGCAAAAAAGAAATTTTTATGTGTGCGGAAAGACCTAGGCATCAATCTAAATGGTAAAATAACCATATTAAACAAAATTCCTGACCTTAGTTCAGTGTCTATCAAGGAGAGGTGCTCAGAGCGATGTTTTGTGTGCGTTTTCATGTAGTGCATGGAGAAATGGCAACGCTTCTTGACATGCAGAAGTGTATTCCTCCAATTCTCGATATGCTCATGAAAATCGACCTCAAATAGTGTAAAACATTAAAATACCTTTCAAGAATTTCATCCCTTCAAGGTTTGCATGTCTCACTTTCCCATCCGCAGTGCAGTGCCCTCTTGTAGTCTGTCGATTGTAAGAGTAGAACGGTCGGAGATCATGTTCGACATTAAGACTCATGTTTCCCAGAAGAGAAGGAAAATCTCCGAATTCTTCACTCAAGTACGTCAAACACTGGCGATCTGGAAGAAAGGAGGGAGGAATCACGATTTATTGATTGATTCAGATCAGAAAAGGTGAAAAGTTGAATGAATGCCAACCTTTCATTACATCCCATAGGAATGCTACATTGTTAGCTTCGCCTTCTCCTCCTCTCAAAATGTTCAAGAGATTTTTTTCAGGGTCATCACTAATCTGAAAGATAGGGCAAGCTACATTTCAATGTGCATACAAAAACAAAGTCCTATTTTCCCCTTTTATCGAGGCATCGACAGAAATAAGTAGACGTCCATCAATTTCAAGTGCTAAGATGGAGCTGAACTTTCCACTTTAGCGTTTATATGTGTGACTGAAAACTTTTATCCTTTTACCTCAACCTTTTCTTTTGTCTGCTCTACCCTCTTCCTACATTAGCAGCATTTTTTTCTCCATGCGCCGTTTCCTTCTCTTCCTTTTCAATTTTCTGTTCTTCTGTTACACTCTTTCGTCCATTTGTTGAGCAGGAACAGTGTCGAGACCCTGATTACCCTACTACTCAACG